ATATGGGTGTGTTTGTAATAAATATTGTGAGATGTGTTGTTTGATGGCAAAAGTAGAAATGGTTATGTTGTGTGATAATGATTGTGTGTGAGTTGTTTATTGTCATAAACATATATGGGTGTGTATGTAACAATGATTGTGTGATGAGTTGTTGATTGGTTAAAAGTGGGAGGAATAAGTTTATGAAAATGACTAAGTTGTGAGTCGCTTTATTGTTATGAACATATATGGGTATGTTTGTAACAATGAAGGCGTTGTGGGTTATTTTATGGTGATGAAACAATGAGATACCTTGTGTTGATTGTGTGTATGACATTGATGTGATATTTTGTGTTATGACTAATATATGAATATGGATCATTTGAGAAATTACCTACCCGAAGTGGTAGTGGATCATTGGAGAAATTACCTACCCGAAGTGGTAGTGGATCATTGGGGAAATTACCTGCCCGAAGTGGTAGTGGATCATTTGAGAAATTACCTACCCGAAGTGGTAGTGGATCATTGGGGAAATTACCTGCCCGAAGTGGTAGTGGATCATTTGAGAAATTACCTACCGAAGTGGTAGTGGATCATTGGGGAAATTACCTACCCGAAGTGGTAGTGGATCATTGGAGAAATTACCTACCCAAAGTGGTAGTGGATCATTGGGGTAAATTACCTACCCGAAGTGGTAGTGGATCATTTGAGAAATTACCTACCCGAAGTGGTAGTGGATCATTGGGGAAATTACCTGCCCGAAGTGGTAGTGGATCATTTGAGAAATTACCTACCCGAAGTGGTAGTGGATCATTGGGGAAATTGTGGGCTTACCCGTAGTGGTAGCGGATTATCTGTGCAGTGTAAACGGCCGGATGTGGTAAAGAGTAAGCTTGATGTCGATGGTAATTGAAGAAACAAAAAGTATTTGAATTAAAAGAATATGCATGCTATAGAATATATATTAGGATACATATACTATAGGGTGAATATGGATATATGGAAATAGAAGAAAGAAGATATGAATGCTTAATATTGTTTTGAATGTGGATTGTCATATAAATTGATATACGAATATTATGTGGTATAAGGTATTGATTTGTATATGTTTAACATGGTTGATGTTAGAAGTTGTATAGGTCGTAATACTTTAATGTTATTACTCCAGGTAAACCCACGCTACGGTCACCGTAGTTGGTTCTTACTCCTTCTGTCTCTTCTTGTATGTGTTGTGTATTTGAGTTCAGGTTGTGGCGGTAGTGCGTTGGACGCTTGCGGAGAAGAGTACATGGTAGAGTAGAGTTTTATGTAATTGATATGTTATATGATAAATGTTTATAATATGAGAACTATGTTGGATTATCTATTTTGTAAAATGGAACTCCTCCTAAGTGTATAATGAAGTTTATTTAATGTTTGTATTAAAAGTGTTTCTTGAGAAAGGATAATTGTTTAGATTATGTATTTGAAAGGAAGTGTAATGACATGCTTTTGAAGTGAGATGTATTTGGAATATTTTCGTCTTGTGATTTATAAATGGAACTAATATTTGTATTCACTCAAGTTTCCAAACCGTTCAAGTAATGTCTTCCAAAAGTAATCACTTCACTTTCATGAACAACGTTTTAAAAAGAATTTTTGGATTACGAAAATCGGGTCCTTACAGAGGGAAAAATCCGGGGTACTTTATTGCTTAGTCTGGCTTTTATGGAAGCTTTAACAATTTATGGGCTAGTTGTAGCATTAGCACTTTTATTTGTGAATCCTTTTGTTTAATCCTAACAAAATCTAAATCTCGGAATTGTAGCAAGATAATTAGCCTATCCATAAGAGGATATGATATCATATGAACAATATAACCGATTCTTTCCTTTGCTTGGGTTTGGGTTACTGGCCATCCACCAGACGTTTCGGGTTAAATACCGATATTTTAGCAACAAATCCAATAAATCTAAGTGTAGTGCTCGGTGTATTGGTTTTTTTTGGAAAGGGAGTGCGTGCGAGTTGTTTATTTCAAGAGTAGGTTGAATACAACCAACTGTACTTTTTTCGTTGTAACTGGGAAAAAAGGGTGCATGAGCCCACGAATTACTTCTGAATTAATTAAGAAATAATATTTAAGAACCATAGCATTTCGTGATTCTTTGGTAAATCCACTATGATTCTCTATCAACCAATAATTTTGGACCATATTACCATAGTTAAAGCTAAGTAGTTTGAAGTCTCGGCGCAATGTAGTACTCTTTCCCCACTATGTTAATATAGAAATGAAACGGTTTCAAAAAACAAATTGTTGGAATTTTCTCGATATAGAACACTCATGTCGATAAAATGGCTTGAATCCTCTTTACGGTAAAAAATTGGAAAAATGGGTGTAGTTTATTTAATTTCACCCCCCTTTTTATTATACAATGCGGAATCGATGACCTATCTTATGTATCAATTAATAAGAATTCTTTGGATTTGAAGAAAAAAAACAACTTTGCTGACAATTGACAATTATTTATTTGGTCAGAAGAGTCCTCAAAATATTCTGGTCTTCTATTAGTAATCAATTTCAATATTTTTGGAATGAAATAGTAATAGAGAGGATAGGCTCATTACATAAAAAAGATAGGGAATTTTCCCATTTAGTAATTGAGTGTGAGAGCCAAATGAATCAAAAGATTCATGTTTGGTTCGGGAAGAGATCATAGACATTTTGAAATTAAATGAATGGAAAGATAATCTACTTTCATTAAGTAATTTATTAGATAATCGAAAACAGAGAATCTTGAAGACTATTCGAAATTCAGAAGAACTGCGGGAAGGGGCTATTGAACAGCTGGAAAAAGCCCGGGCCCGCTTAAGGAAAGTGGAAACGGAAGCAGATCGTTTTCGAGCGAATGGCTATTCTGAGATAGAACGAGAAAAATTAAATTTAATCAATTCAATTTATACAACTTTGGAACAATTCGAAAATTATAAAAACGAAACCATTCGTTTTGAACAACAAAGGGCGATTAATCAAGTTCAACTGCGGGTTTTCCAACACGCCTTAGAGGGAGCTCTAGGAACTTTGAATAGTTGCTTGAACAACGAGTTGCATTTACGTACCATCAGTGCCAATATTGGCATGTTTGGGGGAATGAAAGAAATAAAAGATTAGTCCTTCTTCTACTATAGGCATTATTTTTTTTTCTTATAAAAAGAATTAAATTGATAAATACTCATGGTAAGCATTCGTGCAGATGAAATTAGTAAAATTATCCGTGAACGTATTGAGCAATATAATACCGAAGCAAAGATTGTAAATACTGGTACCGTACTTCAAGTAGGCGATGGCATTGCTCGTATTTATGGTCTTGATGAAGTAATGGCGGGTGAATTAGTGGAATTTGAAGAGGGTACTATAGGCATTGCTTTGAATTTGGAATCAAGTAATGTTGGTGTTGTATTAATGGGTGATGGTTTGATGATACAAGAGGGAAGTTCGGTAAAAGCAACAGGAAGAATTGCTCAGATACCAGTAAGTGAGGCTTATTTGGGTCGTGTTATAAATGCTCTGGCTAAACCTATTGATGGTCGAGGAGAAATTTCAGCTTTGGAATCTCGGTTAATTGAATCTCCTGCTCCTGGTATTATTTCGAGACGTTCCGTATATGAGCCTCTTCAAACAGGACTTATTGCTATTGATTCAATGATCCCTATAGGGCGCGGTCAACGAGAATTAATTATTGGGGACAGACAAACGGGTAAAACCGTAGTAGCCACAGATACCACTCTCAATCAACAAGGACAAAATGTACAAGTGTTTATGTCCCTATCGGTCAAAAAGCATCTTCTGTGGCTCAAGTGGTGACTGCTTTACAAGAAAGGGGAGCAATGGAATATACTATTGTAGTAGCTGAAACGGCGGATTCGCCAGCTACATTACAATACCTCGCTCCTTATACAGGAGCAGCTTTGGCTGAATATTTTATGTACCGCGAACGCCACACTTTAATCATTTATGACGATCCCTCCAAACAAGCACAGGCTTATCGCCAAATGTCTCTTCTATTACGAAGACCGCCGGGTCGCGAAGCTTATCCGGGAGATGTTTTTTATTTGCACTCACGTCTTTTGGAAAGAGCCGCTAAATCAAGTTCTCAGTTAGGTGAAGGAAGTATGACTGCTTTACCAATAGTTGAGACCCAATCGGGAGATGTTTCCGCTTATATTCCTACTAATGTAATTTCCATTACAGATGGCCAAATATTCTTATCCGCAGATCTATTCAATGCTGGAATCAGACCTGCAATTAATGTGGGTATTTCTGTTTCCAGAGTTGGATCGGCAGCTCAAATTAAAGCCATGAAACAAGTAGCTGGTAAATTAAAATTAGAATTGGCACAATTTGCAGAATTAGAAGCTTTTGCACAATTCGCTTCTGATCTCGATAAAGCTACTCAAAATCAATTGGCGAGAGGTCAACGATTGCGCGAATTACTTAAACAATCCCAATCGGCTCCTCTCACTGTGGAAGAACAGATAATAACTATTTATACCGGAACGAATGGTTATCTTGATTCATTAGAAATTGGACAGGTAAGGAAATTTCTAGTTGAGTTACGTGCTTACTTAAAAACGAATAAACCTCAAGTCCAACAAATCATATCTTCTACCAAGACATTCACTGGAGAAGCAGAAGCCCTTTTGAAGGAGGCTCTTCAGGAACAGATCGAACTATTTTTACTTCAGGAACAAGTCGAAAAAAATTGATTAAGAATTCACTTTCTAATCTTAATAATTATTGTCTTTGAATATTTTTTTTTCTTTTTATCTAATTAATATTAATAATATTACTAATAATTTACCATTATTCAATTCGAATAGAAATAAAAAATATATATAATAAATTCAGGATTTTTGAAGATTCTATAAAAAATTCAAAAAGAGAAGGGGCAAGACATAATAAATTGGGTATATAAGATGATATTATAAGATATATAGAAGATAAGTTATTATTTAAAAAGTCTAAATAACTTGGAAGGGTAGGGGTTATAGTCGACGTTGATTCAAAATTTTTAACGCCTCTAATTCAAAACCGAACGTGAAACTTTTGTTTCATTCGGCTCCTTTACGGAATAAATTAAGAGATGGAAGACATCAACAAAAAAAAATGGACCCATACCATCTATGTCAGCCTTTCTGTATGAATACATTTAAAACACCTTGCTTTTTAGATGATCCCTATAGAAGAGGAGTATTCTAACAATCTTTTGTTTTTTCTAGTTACTTCGTTCTCTATTTCTATTTAAGAGAATCTTTAGGAAAAGAATAAAATTTCCATCGAGCTAAAAAAATGTTGATGTCTCTAGTAAACTAAAGTAATCGTTTAATAGCTATTTTGCTTCAATCTCTCCTATCCAAAACAAATAAAAAAATGGAAGATTTAGTTACGATTAGAAATCAACTTTCTATATCTTTCTCCATGGATCCTTTACTCATACTCAAAAAATTGGGATTATTGATCCAATTCCAAAAAGTTATGTTTCATAATTTGTAAATTAAATTTGTCAATTTAGAATTGATTTTTTTGGATACAAATTACGATAATGTATATTAAATATTCCTCCGAATCATTTGTTGAGAGGAATAAAGGAGTAAACTAAACTCCTTTAAGCAAGAAATAAAGTTTTTGCTCGGGATCCCTTAACTATTACGGGATCTATAGAACGAATCGCACTTTTACCACTAAACTATACCCGCTACAATGCAATTATTGCATATAAATGCACCTTTTGTCGAACAAGGGAATCAGTCATAATGAAGAACTAGGCTCATAAGCGTAATTAATTAAAAATAAGATAAAATAATTAGTAATAAAAATGAATTAAGAATACTATAAATAGGAGGAAATAATTAGAATGTTGACATGTTTTGTAAGGGGACCTCCAAATGAAATTAAGAAAAGAGAGCTAATTTCATTTTTTTGTTTTTGCAGAAGCTGAAGATGTTTTGTTTTGACAGATACATCTACATCTCGACAAAACTACTTAATCCATAACAAAAAATTGATTGTGTAAGAATCCACAGTTTCTTTTTTTAGATACTTTACTAGAAAAACGAAGGAGTAATAAAAAAAATGACATTTTGATCTTAGGAATTTAAAAGTCTTTTTTTATTTATGTTTGATCATGTTTAAATAACAAGTATTTTTTTTTTTTTCAAATGAAATACATTCAACTAAATCTTTGTTTTCAAAGATTCGTGGTAACAAAAAGAGCCCAGCTAAGTATTGTAAGGGCCCAAATTCTACCCTTGAAATTTTTTCCTTATTTTAATCCAGTTATTATTACAAACTTTACTACACTTTAATTAATCAATATTCGTTACTTAATGTTTAGTTATCATACTATACTAAGACCATTTTCCAATAGACAGAAAAAACATAATTCATATATTTTCTTCTCGGTAATTACCGCATATGACTAGCTATGGGATTCCAAAATACCCATAGCTATGAATATCCAGCATTACAAAAATGTAGAACTAAATCAGTTAGGATTTACAATCACCCAAGTAACAGATTACATCAAACAAAAAGCAAAATAAGGATTCCAATTTCTAAGCTCCAAATGCCTCGAACCGAGTATCCTCAACTATCCCGTTTACCTGCAATGGGATTATCACGGCCGATATACACAACAAACAAAGGAGTAAGTCATTAATTCAATAAATATCATTAAGCGATCACATTGGATCTATTCGTTCATCTTTACCATACCTTATCACCTCATTCACCGATACCACCTCATATCATTACCTTCCACATATACGTTTACCTTTTCATTAGCACATGGGGCAAGACATACGATACAATACCACGTAGGGAAAGTCATACACAATACCTCATAGGGCAAGTCATCCTCAATACCACATAGGGCAAGACATACACAATACCACTTAGGGCAAGTCATACACAATACCACTTAGGGCAAGTCATACACAATACCACATAGGGCAAGTCATACACAATACCACATAGGGAAAGTCATACACAATACCTCATAGGGTAAGTCATACACAATACCACATAGGGCAATTCATACACAATACCACATAGGGCAAGTCATACACAATACCACATAGGGCAAGTCATACACGATTCATATACGTGATCAGAAAATTCCACACATTTTTTATTATCATATACCATTAATCACTTCTCCTTACCTTGGTACGTGTCGGGGTTGGTTTTGGGTAACTTTGCAAGTTCCTTCGCTACCTCCTCCGACCTTAGGATCTTTCATTATCCCCACCACGTAACAATAATGTCAGTCATTTATTCCAAATATCACATAAACAACTTATATTGCATTATTTACCCATACAAGACATTCATCATATTTTCGATGTTTCTAAACTACTTTCATCATGAATTTACAACCATCTAAAACATACATATTCATCTCATATTTCAACATTAGAATGTATACTCATCTTCTACCTCTAGCATTTTACTCATTTTCCTCTTTAACCACATTTTCATTTTTGGTTTTTGGGATTTTCATGAACCAACCCACAAAACCTTTCCATTCTTGAAATACCAACTCTAAACCAAGAGTTTACAAAAGAAAAACAACATAAAATGAACCATAACTTAAAAAGGCGAGTTTCCATGGTTTCTCACATTTTGAGAAGAGATCCACCATACCCAAAATGAGTTTCAAAGGGAAGAAGAGAGTTAGAATCAAGAGTTTTACCTCTTCTCAAGCTCTTGGACGAGAATCAAAGCTCCTTTCCCTTGGAAAAGCTCTCTTCTCTCACCTCTCTTCAAATCTTAACCCTAAAATGTGTTTGGGGTTTTCCTCATTTAATGCACTCGTCGGGTTCTCGCTTAAGCGAGAAAATCCTGCCTATTTTAAAAACTCAGATTTGACCCTCTCGCCCAGGCGAGGCATCTCTCACTCAAGCGAGGATCCTCTCGCTCAGACGAGAATCTTACAGCCTCGACAGGTCCAAAATGTCACTTTTCTCGCCCAGGCGAGCCAACTCTCACTCAGGCGAGACCGCTCTCGCTCAAGCGAGCTAACTCTCGCTCAGGCGAGAATCCATCAGTATAGCCCAGGATTTCACCCTCCCAGGTGAGCCTTTCTCGCCCAGGCGAGAATCCCTCGCTCAAGCGAGAATTCCAGGACTGATACTATAATTTTAATGAGTGAAATTAAGGGTGTTACAAGTATTGGCATGGACATGCTCTGGTTGTCTAAAAAGAAACTAAAAAAATGGAATAAATTATATTATTATTTTATTTTATATTTTTTTATTTATATTTGTTTTTCCATTCTTTATTATATAATAAAGAATGGAAAAACAAATATAAATAAAAAAGAGATAAAAGATATAAAGAGCTCTTCAAAAAAGACCAACCTTTTATTTTTTTTTTATGCAATGTAACAGAAACTTACTTCGTAATTCTTTTTTTTTAGTTGGGGAGAGATGGCTGAGTGGACTAAAGCGGCGGATTGCTAATCCGTTGTACGAATTTTTGTACCGAGGGTTCGAATCCCTCTCTTTCCGCGTTACTTACCACAATGTTTCATTTCAAATAACACAAATAACCGTGGACATCATTATTCCAACAAAGTTGGATATGGATTTATTCTCTATTCCTAATTGTTTTTTATGTAATACTAAAAAGACTGGAAAAAGTAGGCAAGGAATAAAACGTTTCCTATGTCTATCATACATGAATGGAAAAAATCCTCGGATCAAAATTCTTGTTATTTTAGGTTTAAGCCTGACGAGAATAATATTCTACAACCAGCAATTCATTTATTTTCAAACCAACCCATTTATTATCTATTATTTGATTGACTAATCCTTTATATTGGAATGGATGAAGAGTCAAATGGGCTGGCAACTCGTCACGAGGGGCTGAATCAAGATCATTTTTGAATCAAAGCTCTAGATTTTGGTTCATCCTTCGTTGTAATGATATCTTGGGGTTTACAGCGATAACTTGGTATATTAACCATACGACCATTAACTAAAACATGTCTATGGTTAACTAATTGGCGGGCTTGAGGAATAGTTGAAACCATACCCAATCGAAAAAGTATGTTGTCCAAACGCATTTCAAGTAATTGTAGTAACACCTCACCTGTTGACCCCTTCGCTTTTCCGGCGATACGAACGTATTTAAGCAATTGTTGTTCTGTAAGACCATAATGAAAACGCAATTTTTGTTTTTCTTCTAAACGAATACGATATTGAGATTTTTTACTGGAGCGCGATTGGTTTCTAAGTTCGCTTCCGACTATAGCTGCGGGCCTTTTACTAGTTAGTCCTGGTAAAACTCCCAGACGGCGTATTTGTTTGAAACGAGGCCCTCTGTAACGTGACATAAAAACTCCTTTTGGAAATTTTAAATTTCAAAAATAGAAATTAAAACTAAACTAAATGACAAATATGATAAATCAAGGAAAATCTACTAAAATATTGTACTACAAAGAAGAATTAGATGAATACTATTAATATACGAACCCTATTGTATATAGAAAATAAAAACGCGGAGGCGGTTCTTTTCGTGATTTGTTCTACAGAGATCCAACTCCCCCAATTTTTTTATTCCTAAAAAAAAATTATATAAAAAATCAAAACAAATAGAGAAAAGCCGGCTATCGGAATCGAACCGATGACCATCGCATTACAAATGCGATGCTCTAACCTCTGAGCTAAGCGGGCTCACAAAGCCAAAATTCCGCGTACATAGGAATTTTTTAAGCTAAGCTACTAACGGGATCTTAGTTAGTTACTGTATTTTATATTTATATTAGAGTATCTTCTATTTATATAATATTATTTATATTATTTCATTTCGAATTTTTTTATAATATTCGAATTATAAAAAAATTCCTGAAGGATTCTCACCTAGGTGAGAGGAATACTAGGCTATACTGAAAGATTCTCGCCTGAGCGAGAAATGTCTCGCTTGAGCGAGAGTTGGCTCGCCTGAGCGAGAGTTGTCTCGCATGGGGGAGAAGTGACACTCTGAAGCTGTAGAGGCTCTAAGATCCTCGCTTGAGCGAGAGGATCAGATTTGAGTTTTTAAAATGGGCGGGATTTTCTTGCTTGAGCGAGAATGGGCTCGCTTGAGCGAGAACCCGACGCTGTTACATTAAATAAGGAACCCCAAACACATTTTAGGGTTAGAACTTGGAGATAAATGAGAGAAGAGAGCATTTTCAAGAGCAAAGAGTCTTGAGAATCATCTAGAAGCTTGAAAAGAGGTAAAACTCTTGATTCTAACTCTCTTCTTCCCTTTGAAACTTGTTTTGGGTATGTTGGATCTCTTTTCAAAATGTGAGAAACCATGGAAACTCTTCCTTTTGAGTTGTGGTTCGTTTTATTTAGTTTCTCTTTTGTAAACTCTTGGCTTAGAGTTGGTATTCAATGAATGGAGAGGGTTTGTGGGTTGATTCATGAAAATCCCAAAACACTAAGATAAAAATGTGGTTAAAGAGGAAAATGAGTAAAATGTTAGATGTAGAAGATGAGTATGTGCTCTAATGTTGAAATATGAAATGAATATGTATGTTTTAGATGTTTGGAAACTCTTAATGAAAGAAGTTTGGAAACATTGAAAAAGTGTGAATCTCTTGTATGGTTAAGGATGCAATATGAGTTGTTTATGTGTTGTTTTGAATAAATGACTAACATGGTTGTTATATGGTGGGAATGAGGAAAGATCCTAAAGTTGGAGGCGGTGTCGGTGGAACTTGCAAAGTTACCAAGGACCAAACCCAACACTCACCAAGGTAAGGATAAGTTTTTAATTAGCATATGTAGCAAACTTTGGCTCAAGTTATGTAGCAAGCTTTGGCTCAAGTGATGTAGCAAACTTTGGCTCAAGTTATGTAGCGAAAATGAATTTAAAATGGTTTACTGACCCCTTTAAAATGTGGATTATCTTATAATGATATTTATTGAATTAATGACTTACTCCTTTGTATGTTGTGTGTATTTGTCGTTGATAATCCCATTGCAGGTAAACAGTGTAAGGACCCAAATTCTACCCTTAAAATTTTTTCCTTATTTTATTCACCCTTCATACATTTTCCTACGACTTTTACATAAAAATACCAACAACTCAACTTAAGTCTCATTTCCCTACTCTTATCAATTTCATAACCTCAAAATAACATACATGTTCGCATAGCATAAAATCATAATTCATTCATATATCCCGGTAAGTACCGCATACAATTAGCTATGGGATTCCAAAATACCCATAGCTACGAATATTCAGAGTTACAAATATTCATGTTCAAAATACAGTTAGTCATATTACAAAAGAATGAATATAAGGACTTCCAAAAACGAATTAAAAGCCTCTATGCTCCTAATCAAACGTCCTTACATCTTCCACCTACCTGCAATGGGATTAACATTGACCATACATAGAAACACAAAGGAGTAAGTCGTTAACGTAAAATAATGTCAATATACGTCAATCCACATTTTAATAAAGTTAAGTAAAAACTTAGAATTAAATATACTTAAAACCATTTCCTTTGTTTATACTTTTGAAAACATGCTCCATAACTTGAGCTAAAGTTTGCTACATTGCTTGAGCCAAAGCTTGCTACATTGCTTCAGTCAAAGCATGCTACATTGCTTGAGCCAAAGCTTGCTACATTGCTTGAGCCAAAGTTTGCTACATTGCTTGAGCCAAAGTCACTAACCCATCATGGTCGGCTAAAAACGAGTTTTATTTCCATTGGCACTCCACCAATACATAAACATTAAATTCACACCATCATCATTACAAACATACCCATATATGCTTATAACAATTAAGTGATTTACAGTTCATTTCATTATTCTGAGTTTTATTTCCATTGGCACTCCACCAATATATAAACAGTAAAAACACACCATCATCATTACAAACATACCCATATATGCTTATAACAATGTCGTGGCCCGATTTTCGGTTGGAAGACCGACCCTACGACTTAGGGATAGGCGAACTCGATTTCTACTTCTTCCAATTGATTTTGAGTTGCCACTACGTTTTTTGCGGTTAAAACGTAGAAAACTCTAAATATGTCTAATTAGGATAATTTGGTCTTTGATGAGAGATTCTGAGCTCGAGAGTCGATTACGGATTGGGGAAGGTATTAGCACCCCGTCCGCCCATATTAAAACGGTACCCTCTAAAATTATTTATTAAAATTCAGTAAATAAAAAAGAAATGTTTTATTTTTTATTGTTGTGCCTGACAAGAATTCAACTTGCTCCTACGTATCCCTAGCTGCAATAGGAAAATCAAGGCTACGTAGTTCGGGTTTGAAAAATAATTGAATTGGTTTGAGTAGTGTTAAAATATGCTGAAGTAGTTAAGTCGTATAATATGATTTTTCTAAAATAATTTTGATAAGGAATTAATAGTTTAGAGATGGTGTTGGTCGCTCACTTTCTTCCCATTTTCAGAGAAGTCAGAGTCGACTCGAACTATGACCTCGCTATAAAAATTCCATTAAAAGTCAGTAAAAATACAAATTCGTTTAAATAAATAAGATAAATTTTTAATTAATATGTTTCGGAATATGAAATTAATAGTTTAGAGACAGTATTGGTCGCTCACCTTTTTCTCATTTTCAGAGAAGTCAGAGTCGACTCGAACCATGACCTTGCTATAAAAATTCCATTAAAATTCGTTTGAGTATAAATTCATTTATGTAAATAAGATAATTTTTGGTTAACATATTTTGGAATATGGAATTAATAGTTTAGAGACGGTATTGGTCGCTCACCTTCTTCCCATTTTCAGAGAAGTCAGAGTCGACTCGAACCATGACATTGCTATAAAAATTTCATTAAAATTCGTTTTAAGTATAAATTCATTTAAGTAAATAAGATAATTTTTTGTTAACGTATTTTGAAATATGGAATTAATAGTTTAGAGACGGTATTGGTCGCTCACCTTCTTCCCATTTTCAGAGAAGTTAGAGTCGACTCGAACCATCAACTTGCTATAAAAATTCCATTACAATTCGTTTTAAGTATAAATTCATTTAAGTAAATAAGATTATTTTTTGTTAACGTATTTTGAAATATGGAATTAATAGTTTAGAGATGGTATTGGTCGCTCATCTTCTTCCCATTTTCAGAGAAATCAGAGTCGACTCGAACCATAACCTTGCTATAAAAATTTCATTAAACTTCATTTTAGTGATAAAGTATTTTTGATATGGACCAAATGTTAGTATACTTTAAATTATGGCCATGAATTATTGCTTATATAGTTAGGTTAAGTGACCTGAGTAAATGATATTGAAAAAAATATAACACGTAGGCAAATAAAAAATTGTAAAGGAATAAAAATGAAAAGGTGTAAATTTGGACTACCACTTTAAAGATGGAACCGTGAAGCACCAAACCTGAAAAGGGATCAAATTGAAATCCTTAAATGCTTTTCTTCCTCAGGCGGCGATGACGATGGCGCATGCGGAGGGGGCGACAATTCAACCGATTTGTCATACCAAAGTTGTCTCCTTCGTCCCTTCTTTCTCTCATTCTCCTCGGTTCCAAATCGGGAAATGGACGAAATCCCTAGCCTTCATCTCCTTCCTTTCTTTAACGGCGGAAACGGTGGCGATAGTGATACTGTGAGGTTGCTACGGCAAGTTAGGGAGCCGAAGGGAACCCATTTCTCCTTTCTCCTTCGTTCCAGTGATCATGGCTTCACGACCGGCGGTGCGTTTTTGATGATGATATGCAATTGTTTTCAACTGGAATCGGCTTTGAATCGTGAAGATGGATTCGTGAAGATGGAAGAGGCCATTGGGACCATATACCATGGTTTGAAACCAGTGAAGAAAGGAGTTGGTAAGGAACCACATTTCTTACTTTCATTTTATTGCCATTAATGAGGATATTTTATTAAAATATAACTGTAGGGCAATGACCACTGCTTTATGGCTATTTTTGGAATCCCTTTCTGTAACTTTCATTGACTCTTCTTTCCCTTGCCTTTATCATGTGACTAATATGAGTATAATTCTTTTGTTGCATGTCATTCCTTATTGATTTCAGATACTTGCCAATGAGTATAAAGGGCCGAATTGGGTGAGCTTCCCTATGCCACTTTTCAACGGTTCAAGCAGCTGGTTGGGTAAATGTGGAATAGTAGGATAAGTTGACGTGCAAGGTAGTCCCTTTTGGAGTAGACATGCAGAAATTGAAGAGCTGCTGGAAGTCCATACTATGATGAAGGAATGAGATGCAATAAATCTACCACTAATAAATTTGGAAAGTAATGGCCTTCAAAACTTTTGCCTAACATGCACCCCAACAGTTTCAAAAACAGCAGATATAACTCAGGAATTAACTCCAATTCAACATTAACCATTTGAAACTTCTAGGACTTTGATTCTTCTTGGATTGGAGGAGGACGTGTTACAATTTTGTTCCAATTATTTAATTTGTGTAATGGCATATGTATCATGGTGGAGTTTTCTACTGTTACCATACTTTCATTCATCAATCCCATTGATTTGTGCTACTTACAGTAAACTGGGGGGTTTAGAAATTGGGGATGTCAAAGACGAATTCCCCATGTTCAGGTTTTTAATAAGGAAGAAAGATGGCCAAGGATCATATGTAAAATAATTGTATGGAATGCAAATCCTCAATCAATTTTCTCTTTTAAATCTTTGTAACCGTACACAAAAATTAGTAAATGAATAATTAATAAATTAATTGAATAGAAATGGTATGCTAGTTTTTTTGGTTAAGAATTCAAAAAAAGATACACTACATATATTAAAATGGCATTTGACAAGTTTTTGTTATTTTGAATTTTTGATGATTCCATAGCTGGACAAAATTGAGT